CAAATAAATTTTCTTTAATATTAAATAACCAATTAATAAAGTTATTAATTTTTTTTGAGTAATTTTTTGTATTGAAGCAGATTTAATTGATTTTGCTGAAAAGTAACTTAATCCTTTCTAAAAAAAGACATGGGATAAAAAAATCGAATGCACTCGAAAGTGTAACTCGAAAAGTATCGAAAAGATTAAGCATCGGTAATATGAATAGAAGGGCGAACTCATGTTTCCAAATGAAATTGTAGTACATTAAAAATTCACATATACTTAAGAGATGGAGCTGCAGTCTGAAATTATTCTTTTACTACTAAATAAATAATAATATAAATAATAACATATAATTTGTAATTAAAAATATAATTAAATTAATTGAAAATTTTACACTTAAGCAAAAAAATATTTTAAGTAAAATAGAATTTTATTTTAAAAATTATTAAATTGAAAAAATTAACATTAAAACTTTTAAAAATGTTTTTGTCCATTATAAATTGCATTAAAAACATGCTTCTTTACTTCATCCCAAAAGTGTAATAAAATTCTTTGTTTATTTTTTCTAATTCTATTCTCATGTGTTAACTTTTCAGCGTGCTTCAATGCACAGCTTCGAGATATTGTATTAAGTTTTTGTTCTCTTTGTTTATTTCAACATTTTCAAGTCTAATTCTTTGTTTTACATTTAACCATTTTAATCATTTACAATGGATATATTATTTCCTAGTTTTTTAATTCTTATTCGTCTCTTTTTTGTGACTCACGAATTCAATTTCGGCATACTTTCTTTTCAGGGTAAATACTTTTTGAACGACCACGATGAGAATTATCCAATGATTTATTTTTTTAAGTGATTCACTTTCATTTAGTGATTGTATCTCATTTAATGATTCGTTATTAATTAATATCTTATCGTTATTTAATGAGTCAGTCTGATCGGTTAATAAGGTATTTTGTTTGAAAGGAACAATCGAATTAGTTTGTAATTGAGAATTTTTTCAATTTCTTTTATTTCGGTTTACTTTATCATTTTCAAATTTACGTTTTCGTTTTATTTTACGTTTAACGTAAGGGGCCGTACACATAATACGTCACGCGGCTAGGCGGAGGGAGGGGGTCTGAGAATTGTGACTAAGTGTGACATGGGGGGGGTGAACTCATGTGTTACGTCACAATCTTTTAAATTAAAAGATTATAAGAAATTATATGTGACAATGTCACATTTTCTAAATAAAACAAGTTAAAAATGCTTTAAACTATTTATCTATTATGTACCTGTTTAATATATATAATAATCTTTATAAATAAGATCAGACTTTTGTCTGTACATTGCATAGAATTTGAAATTTCATGTTTAGTTTTTCTATTCGAGTAGTAAGAATTCCAAAAATGACAATAAAAAAAATTATGTATGTATGTATGTATGTATGTATGTCTGTACGCAATATTTTGTCCGGGATAAACACAAAGACTACTTGACCGATTAAAACGAAACTTTACAGTCTCTTTGGTCTGAGTCTAACTTAAATTTATAGCCATATCCGATTGAAAAATATTAAGCTGAACGAAAGTTATAGCTTTTTTCACAAAATTCAAAAAATCAAAAAAATGCAAATTTTTTTAATTTTTGTCAAATTGATGTGACACTTTTTGTAGCTACTTTTTAATGTAAATACAACTAATTTTTACTATAAAAATGAAATATAAATAATTAATCCGAATTTTTAAGCCAAAATCATATTTTTGATTTTCGACAAAATTTTTAATAAATTTTTTTTGTTGAATATTATTTAATTTTTTATTAATTTGGTAGTGATATCGATTGATGTTTTTAAATTTTTAATTACATTCATTACATTTATTTTATTAAAAAGTTTAGAGTCATGAATTTGATGCCGATTACAAATTTTCTAAAATCAATTAACGTGAGAGTTTGCAAACAATTTCTATATTGATATTTTCAGGTTTTAAGTTTGAAAATTTCATAGTATGTATTATCATATTTAACGTAGAAAATAAAATATTTATGTTCAATATAAAGGGTATACAGTAAAAGTATCAATAATACTGAAATTTGACTTCAGCGGGCACTGGGACACAGAAAGTCCTTAAGATTTATGAATTGGGATTTATGAATCAAAATTTTCTTTTTTTGAATTCAATAAATGTTTTAGAAATGACTTTGAAAATAAATAACAAATTCCTATTTATGAATTAAAATTGTTCTTCTTGAATTTTAGAAATGTTTGGGGTATGGTGTTGCTTTCCAAAATTCTATCCGGGCATTACGCAAAAACGGGTAAAATGTAAAATCCCATGTGGAAATTTGTAATAGGGATATGGAAAAATTATACCATACGGTTTTACATAGGAATCAATATGGTTTCCTTTATAAAAGTGGATCCCATGTAGATTTCCCATGTGGGAATCAAAAACGTGTTATAATTTCTACGAATACATTTAACAGAGTGTCTATTAATCGGAAAGGTATCCCGAGAAATAGCCGGGAATTTAATTCGACTAGAAAAATCTGGAATTTTCTTATCTAATTAAAAAAAGTTTTATTATATTAATTCATTTTTAAAAAATTGTTTTTGCTTTAATTTCTATTGATGTAATATTTTTATTTGTCAAAATTTAAGACCTACTTTCAGATTACAATATAGGTCTTATTTTTGATTTTAGTAGTCGTAATGTGGGGCCTACTTGCGATACAATTAGTTCGAATTAGACTCTTATATAACTCCAAAAGCTGGTGGAAAATTAGTATTAATTATTAATGCATTAATTAAAATACTACGAACGCATAAAGTACTACAAATTGACAAATACTGTTCTGTAAATCTGAATTAGTTGAAAATAGTATTTGATAGAAAAAGTCATTTACTGATTCAAATGGTAATATTTTGATAATGAAATAGTTAATGGTAACTAATTATTAGTTTTTCCCAGTCAAATTAAATTCCCAATTGGTAGACACCTGTTCAAATATATTAGTAGAAACTAAAACCCGTCGAAGACGGGTACGACAGCTAGTATAATATATATATATATAAATATATATGTCAGGGAAATTAAAAATGTCCTGGAAAACCTGGAAATGTCAGGGAATTTTTTTGAAAGTCAGGGAATTTTTTTCAACATGACTTGAAATACTCTTGAACAATATTTTTAAAGCCCACAATTAGTTTTACAAATTTTTTTAATAAAAAATTAATAGTAATAATTAATATTGCCTTTCTAATTTGCAATTCTATTCTATTTTGATTTTTGAGAATTAATATGAACCACAGACATACATATAATCAAATAGAAAAAGATTGACCACTTAAAATTCTGAAAGATCAAAAGAAAAGCAGAAATAATGTCAATAAAAAATTTTGGTTCGTAAAATAAGTCAATTTATTTTAAAAATACATAGGAATTCAATTATTTACAAATTTTTTATAAATTTCTTCGCAATAATTCAATTTTTTTATTTTCATAAATAATAAAATTTTTACTGGTATTCAATTGAGGGGCTGGATACTATAAGGGAATACGCGCCATTCACTTATAATTCAATTATTTATTTTTGTATTTTCATAATTGAATTCTAATAAAAATTAATTTATAAATTAATTTCATTTAAAATTGTAGATAATAATTAAATATTTAAAGCAAGATAGCGTGGATTTTTATAAATAATTGAATTTTGAAATTAATTTTTTTGAAATATGTTAATTGAATTTTTTTATATTATATAAAGTTTTTATTTTTTAATATATATTTAATTGAAGAATTTACGAATAATTGAAATCTTGTAAAATTGATTTAAAGAAGAATTTTAGTAAAAAATTGTTGAAAATAATAATTGAATTGATAATGATTTTATTTACCAGAGTCCAGAATTTTTTCTGTTTTAGCATTCAATCTGCCTTCTTCTTTCATTTAGAGTACCACTGTCAGTATAATTTGTAATTTCTATGTGACAACCCTTTTTTCATTTGTTTGACATTCAAGTCACTTTTTTAAAAAAAAACTTCAAACGCATTTTTCTCAAAACACCATTTTTTAATTTTGTGAACACGATTGAGAACGCCCTTTTGAACCAATCGGGCTTTATGATACATCATTTTAAAGATAATTAAATAATCTTCAATATGACATTTAGTGTTTCTTAAAAAAAATTTTTTTTCATATTTTTTTGGAATTTTAAAGTCAATTTTTATGCACGAAAAATCACTTTTAACTTAAAAAAAAATCAATTCTCGAAATTTATTTAAAAAAATCGAATTGTCATATTCATATAGAAGGTATTATCCTAAAGTTTAAAAAAAACGTTGGTTTCTTTGTGTTTGATTTGTGCTGGTTTAAAATAATTTGTGTTTTGTTTTTATATTTTTACAATATAAGATTTATTTTTTATCATGAAACATTTTTGACTACACAATTAAAATTTAATCTAGCTTTACAGACTGCCGTATATAAGTGTTTCGTTTAAGAGTTATTTTTGCATTGAGAAACTTGTCTCTTAAGTGCAGAATTATCGTTTTTTTAAACCTAAATTTTAAAGAGTGGGAGTGATTTTTTACCCCCACTTGCAGATTGAGGATTGAGGGAGGATTCAAAGACCGCCTCCAAAGGACAATAGACCTCACTCTTGAAGACCTAGAGAGAAATTTTACAATTATTGCGGTCTAACTGACCTGCGAACGTGTTTACATCGGTTATTTTCGGATAATAATAAAATCATTAACACTAAACATAAATGTCGAAGTATTGAAATTTTCTTCTTCTTTATCAAAAAATACACAACTTGATCTATTATGAAGGCCAAAAACTATTCAATATATGTTCCTTTTCCTTTTCTCTAAAGCACTTAAGAGACACAATAAGCTACCTCTATTAAAGTAATAATTCAAAATTTTGGGTTTTTCCACGATAAATTGTTACGCAGTAACATGCCGGCCCCCTTGAACGGCCAATGTTCAATTAACTCACATCACCTCACTTTAAAGTTTGTATTGTCTTTAATCTATTGGCAAAGGACACACATGTTTTAATGCCCGCTTGTAAACACCTGATTTTGTTTTTATTGTCACAGCCCTCACTATTCCATCAGATCCTGGGTGAATCATGACAACACGTCCAAGAGGCCACTTCATTGGTGATAGATTGTCCTCTTTGGACATGATGAGTATTCCTGGTTGTATAGCACTTTGTTCAGTCGCAGATTGCCATTTACTCCTACAAATTAACTCGTTCAGGTATTCTTGATGCCATCGGTCCCAGAAGTGATGACGCATTTTTTGAGCAAGTTGCCAACAGCTCAGTCGATGCTCTGGAATGTTGCGGAGATCTTCTTGTGGCAAGCTTGTTAGAGAACCACCCAAGAGGAAATGTGCGGGTGTTAAAGGATTAAGATCATTAGGATCAGTCGAGAGAGGAGTCAAAGGTCTGGAATTTAAAATTGACTCAATTTCTGTTACATATGTGTGAAGTTGCTCATAAGTCAGGAGAGAATTTCCTGTGACTCGGACAAAGAGAAATTTAAACGATTTTACTGCAGCCTCCCAAAGTCCCCCAAAATGAGGAGCCCGAGGAGGAATGAAATGCCAAGAAACCGATTTGTTAGAGAGATATTCTTTAGTTTTTTTATCTGTTATTACTGTATTAATTGTTTTGAACAGTTCCTTGATTTCATTATTTGTTCCAACAAAGTTTGTGGCATTATCAGAGTGAATGGATTGAGAAATTCCACGTCGAGCAAAAAATCTTTTTAAACATGCTAGAAATGCTTCTGTTGTTAAATCACTAGCTAGTTCTAAATGAACCGCCTTGGTAGCAAAGCAAACGAACACCGCAACGTAAGTTTTGACCTTTGTTCTATTTCTGTGTCTATGTTCCTTTGTAAAGAACGGACCACAAAAATCAACTCCAACATTGAGAAACGGACGAAAAAATGTTAAACGATTTTTAGGTAAATTTCCCATTAAATATTGAGGTTCGCGAGGTTTTGCACGAAAACAATTTATGCACTGTCGGACAATATGTCGTGTTAAGTTACGACCATCGATGGGCCAGTAGGTTTCGCGAACGCCGCATAGAGTCGAATTAACTCCTGCATGTAAACGTTTCATATGCTCGTTTTTAATTATTAATTTTGTAATATGATGATCCTTTGGTAAAACGATTGGATGCTTTTTAGATTCGGGAAGGTCCGCGAGATTTAGACGCCCTCCCACTTTAAGAACACCTTGGTCAAGAAATGGGTTTAAAGAGATAAGTTTACTGTCTTTAGAGATTTGTTGATTTTTTGAAAGAGAACGTATTTCGCTTGAGAATGATTCTGCTTGAATTAATTTAATAATTTGACTCTTTGCTGAGTTAATTTCATTTTCGGATAAATTTGTTTTAAGTCGAGAATTTTCAACCTTGTTTTTCGCGTTTGATATAAAACGTAAACAATACGCAACTATTCTAACTGTTTTTGCCAGCTGCTGTATTTTGTTAAGATATCAACTTTACCTTGTGTTAATTTAAATGAAAAACTGCCTTTACTTTACGAAGACCGGAAATTTCATTTACTTGTATATCCCTTTGAGGCCAATTCTCGTCATTTAATTGCAACCATGAGGGACCATTTTTCCAATCACGATTGTGAATGAATTCACGAGGACTTAATCCGCGTGATAACATATCAGAAGGATTGCTTTCCGTGGGTACATGTCGCCAATTTTCAGCCTTTGTCAAAGTTTGTATTTTAGAAACGCGATTTGCAAGAAACGTTTCTAGCAAATGGGGAGAGGTATTGATCCAGCTTAACGCTATCATTGAATCAGACCAAAAAAAGGTCTCTGAAATTTGAATTTTTAAGCATTTCATTGTAGTTTCATAGATTTCTGCTAATAGAAGAGCTGAACACAATTCTAACCTAGGCAAGGATGTAGATTTGAGTGGTGCGACTCGAGATTTAGAACAGATTAATGATACTTGTGTATCACCATTGACATTGGTTGAGCGAAGATAAAGACACGCCCCATATGCCTTTTCACTGGCATCACAGAAGCCGTGTACTTGAATATCTGTGAAATTCTCGACAGTGATACATCTTTTAAATCGAATATCATTGAGATAACTTAATTAGTCTACATATTCTTTCCATATAATTTGTAAATCTTTAGGAAGAGGTTCATTCCATTCTAAATTAAGTTTCCATAATTGTTGAATTAATAACTTTCCAACAACAATTACTGGACCTAAAATTCCTAACGGGTCGTATAATTTAGCGCATTTCGAAAGAACAGATCTTTTGGTTGCAATTTCATTTGTATTTTCTAAATTAACAATGTATAAAAATTCATCTGATGTTGGATTCCAACGCAAACCTAATGTTTTCACAACATTTGAAGGATCTAACGACATGTGTTCATCACTAATATTACCTACAAAATTTTCACATAAACGAGGGTCATTAGAAACCCATTTTCTCAATGTGAAACCACCTTTGGATAATAAAGTAATTAATTCGTTTCTAATGTCCAGTGCGTCTTGTAGAGTTTTCGCGCTCGATAAAAAATCATCAACGTAAAAATCATTCTTTAAAAAGTGTGCAGCTATAGGAAATTCCCTTTGTTCGTCATCCGCGAGTTGATGAAGGGTGCGTATTGCGAGATAAGGAGCACATGCGGTACCGAAAGTTACTCTGTTGAGAGAGTAAATTTCTATTGGTTGATCTGAACGAGATCGCCAAAGAATTTTTTGAAATTGTTCGTCCTTTGGAGATCCTAAAATTTGCCGATACATTTTTCGAATATCAGCTGATAAGGCATAAGGAAAGAGTCTGAAACGAGCGATGATTGCATATATATTATCTTGGATTGTTGGACCAACTCTGAGAGCTTCATTTAACGAAACTCCGCTTGAGGTTTTGGTAGATCCATCGAAAACTACTCCATCTCTTGTTGTGCAACTATCCACTTTTGTAACTGCGTGATGAGGTAAGAAATATCCCCCCTTTAAATCATTTTTACTATCGACTGCTGTCAAGTGTCCTTCATCTAAATAATTTTGAATAATATCACAATAAGAAGAATGAAATTCAGGATATTTTTCAAATTTTCTTTCGAGAGCATAGAATCGTTGGAACGCGGTATTACGAGAATCGCCTAATATTTCTTTTTTGTCATTGAAAGGTAAGTTAACTTGATAACTACCATTCTCTAAACGTTTTGTTGTTTTGTTACAATGCTCTTCGACTATTTTCTCTTCATCTGAAAGATTTTTACTTAATTTATCACTCTCTAATTCCCATAAGGGAGGAATATCTTGATATTTGATTAAATTACATTGCACTGTAGTGGGAAAAATCGAATCTATCTTTGAATTAAATTTGTTTGGTTTAGTGTAACGACCTGAAAATATCCACCCTAAATCTGTTTCTTGCAGAATTGCACCTTGACCACTTACCTTCACTTTTCCGACTCTCATTATATTATAAAAATATTCAGCTCCTATCAAAATGTCTATTTCTGATGGTTAATGAAAATCGGGATCTGCTAAGAAAATTTGATGAGGAATATTAAATGAATTTCTATCAATTGGAATTGCAGGCATTGGTTCTGAAATGTTTTGAAATATTAAAAATGACAAATCGAGAATGACGTTATCATCATATAAGGATTTGACCTTCGTAGAAGTCATATGTTTAACCCTTGATTGAAGATTATCAACACCCTTTAAATTTATATTGACATTAGACCTTTTGAGATTAAGAGTCTTAGCAAATTTCTCTGAAATCGAGCAACACTGAGAACCAGAATCCAAAAATGCTCGACAATTTATATAATTACCTTGAGCATCTAAAATTTGAACAATAGCAGTACCTAATATTACTTGTGATTGAACTTTAGTTTTATAGGTTGTTGTTGCGGCTATCAATGTTTCTGGTTTTGACTCCGGTTCTGGTTTATCTTTGTTAAAATGCAATAGTGTATTGTGTCGTTTCTGGCATTTACGACAAGATGAACGACGACAATCTAATGTGCGATGATTACTAAGAAAACAATTATGGCAAATTGATAATTCTTTTACTTTATCATAACGCTGAGAAGAAGACATATTTAAGAATTGCTCACATGAATAAAGCATATGATTTTTTGAACAAAGTGGGCACGGTAGCGATTTAGTTTCACTTGAATTTACTGTGGCTGACATACATGTTGCTGATGTGCTTCGAGAGTTTGACTGATTGGAATTAGGTTTTGAAACGTTTGATTTTTGACTTTGAGACAGTTTATAAGATGATTGAAAATTCTCGATCAAAGCTCGACGTTCTAAAAATGATACCATTTCTGAAAAAGTAGGAAGTCTTGTGCTTCCAACGGACTCTTCCCATTTTTCTCGCATGTAATTGTTTAATTTTTCTCGAATTACGTGAATTAATAAAGAATCCCACTGATCCACCGGTTGATCTAAAGCTCTCAAAGCTCTAAGGCGTTTTTGTATATTGTCTAAAAGTGCACGAATTGAATTTTCTTTCGAAACATTAGGAATTTCAAACAGGGCTTTAATATGACTCTCTACAATATACTTGCGATTATCATATCATATTTATTTTTTAAGAGTTCCCATGCAACAGAATAATTTTGATTAGTAGTTTCTAGAGATGAAATGAGCTCTGCTGCTTCATCCTTTAAACATGCTTTTAAATAGTGGAATTTTTGTATAGGAGAAAGAGTAGGATTATCATGACACATGGATTTGAATGAATCATAGAAAGTTAGCCATGTATCATAATTACCCTGAAAGAAAGGTGTTTGGATTTTTGGAAGCTCAAATCGAGATTGAAATCCTGTTTGAAATTCTTGTGATCTATTACTAGTTTCCATTGTTGGACTTGATACTTCATTTGGAACCGTTGTTGTATTACTTTGTGCGCGTTGGATAATTGAACTTGTGTCGGTATCTACAACAGGAACTTGAGATTGACTAGTTGACATAGCAAAATTTTGTTTCTTTATATATTTTTTAAATAAAGCACAAATTGAATGATAACGATTTTCGAAGGATGTTCGTTCGCCTTCATGACCTGCGGTTTCCGTTTCTTCAGGTAGAAGCTCTTCTAATTCCGATTGTACAGTATCAAATTGATCCCAAAGTGGGATATGTTTTTCTAAACGACCTTCTAAATTGAGAGACTCTAAATCTGAATCTTCATTAATTGAAGCAAAAAGGGTTTCTGAGCAGGTTAATAATCTTTTTATATTACCGCGCGACTTCTTTTTAACCTTAATTTCGTCACTTGACATCTTGAGTCTTTACGTGCAATTCACACACAGAATTTAAAAATTGTCAATTATAAAGAAGTAAAGTTTGATAATTGATAACGGGTGAATTCTCTAAACTTACTTGGAAGCCTCTATGATGTCTTCTTGTAGTATGGTGATGATCCCTGCTCTCGTTGTCCTGATGAAATTGACAGCTCGTTTGATTAATAAATTGAAACCACTTAATGAATGAACTCAACAGTTTATTGATTGACTGGGCAGTGTAGATTTTTCGAAAAGTTTATTTTGTAGTCGCAATCACTTAATATGCACATTAGTTGTTCCGAAGGATTATGTATGAAGAGTTTAACTGTTTAATTTCTATAACTTCATGTGTATAGAGACGTAAATATGATTGTTACTCAAACAGAATCAAATTGCACTTCACATCACTCAGTTGTCACAACTTTTGCGTAAAGTTCGCGGATGTAAAAATCCGGCTCGAAGGACCAAAATTATGTTTGATTTGTGCTGGTTTAAAATAATTTGTGTTTTGTTTTTATATTTTTACAATATAAGCTTTATTTTTTATCATGAAACATTTTTGACTACACAATTAAAATTTAATCTAGCTTTACAGACTGCCGTATATAAGTGTTTCGTTTAAGAGTTATTTTTGCATTGAGAAACTTGTCTCTTAAGTGCAGAATTATCGTTTTTTTAAACCTAAATTTTAAAGAGTGGGAGTGATTTTTTACCCCCACTTGCAGATTGAGGATTGAGGGAGGATTCAAAGACCGCCTCCAAAGGACAATAGACCTCACTCTTGAAGACCTAGAGAGAAATTTTACAATTATTGCGGTCTAACTGACCTGCGAACGTGTTTACATCGGTTATTTTCGGATAATAATAAAATCATTAACACTAAACATAAATGTCGAAGTATTGAAATTTTCTTCTTCTTTATCAAAAAATACACAACTTGATCTATTATGAAGGCCAAAAACTATTCAATATATGTTCCTTTTTCCTTTTCTCTAAAGCACTTAAGAGACACAATAAGCTACCTCTATTAAAGTAATAATTCAAAATTTTGGGTTTTTCCACGACAAATTGTTACGCAGTAACAGGTATTATCCTAAAGTTTAAAAAAAACGTTGGTTTCTTTGTTTTAGAAAAAAATTCAGAGCGCTAGAATGTTCACAGATAAAATGAGGTGCCATGGACGCTGTGTATATTTCCATACTAAAAATGTTTTGTTTTTTCTCCAAAAATTTTTTTAGACTCTCAAGACATGTATTAAAGCACCATATAAATTACAAAACGTTTGGAGTTATTTTACCCGAGAAAAAAGATCCCAAAAATGATGCATTTTTCGATAGTCTAAAGGAGGTTCCCCCCTTAAATCTTTCGAAGCTTGCGAGTAAATTTTTAATAAATTTTTAGGAAAGTTTCGGTACTATGTAGGTAGATAAACGTGACTAATTGAATCAATCAAAATAAAAATTGTACACGGAGAAAAATATAAAGTAACTTTTACTATTTTTATAGTTAAAAATTTCCAGTAAAGCATTTCTGGTAATTTTTACTACTTTTGGAGTAAATTTTGCTACGTTGGAAGTACATATTTGTAAAAATTAGTAAAATTTACTTCGAACGCAGCAAATACTCCAAAAGTACTAAAAATTACCAGAAATGATTTACCGGGAATTTTTCACTATAAAAGTAGTAAAAGTTACTTTATATTTTTCTCCGTGCATTGAAACATTAGTTATTCTTAACTAATTGTCAGAAAAAATATTACTATTTGAATTAGTGACTGACTTTTTGCTTCTAAATCTGTTATTTTTAACTGATTCAATAATTTAGAGTGTAGGATATAATATATAATGTCCAATGTATAAAATTTACAGTGAAATTTAGGCGTGTGACGTGGCGTTGTAGGGGGAGGGGGGGTTTAAGGTTTGTGACGAAGTGTGACATAGGGGTAGGGAGGGGTTAAAAATGGTCAAAAATCGCGTGACGTATTATGTGTACTTCCCCTAAACATTCTTTGGACGTCCACGAGGACGACTATTTGTGTTTATCGTTGTTGTATGGATACTTTCAACAGAACTTTCTAAAACAGGGTTTGGTGGAATAGAATCTACAGTTGGAAATAGTTTGTAGATCCATTGACTATATTTTTTTTTTTTAACATAAAATATAATAAATGATAATAATGGATTTGATATTAAGAATTATTTTTGCACCTTGCGGAGAAGGAGCAAGAAACTCAAAGGCCTTAGAAATAACGCCTAATTTCTTCGAGGGTTGCATTGTTTTAAAATAGGTTCCATAGATATGATTTCTTTTAATGATTTTAAATATTTCACAAGCATACAATTTTTAACTGCTTGCCAATTCAAAAAATTCCTCATCATATAATCTTCTTTCATAATTAAATTTATCACTTTTTCTATATTTTTCAAATGAAATATGCTAATGGAATTTTTCAAACATGCATCTAGTGCCAAAGTATTAAAATATATCACAGCTAGTCTGCTGTCCACTTTAAAGAGTTTTTCAAACTTACAGCAAGCTTGCACTGCATGTTTTTTTACAAACCTACAGGTTCTTTATGTGGTTCGTTAAAAAATAAAGAGTATAATTTCAATTCAGTGGACAAGTTTTCATTAATTTTTCAGTGGCTTTAATATTTTTGGCTTTCTTCTTAAGAGCCTTGAGACTATCGTTAAATTTACCAGAATTTAAGAAAGGTAGCGATAGAGTCTTCGTCAAGAAACTGCATGGTGAATTTAGATTATTGCCCATAATTTATCTGGTTTATTTTATCATTTTTTTCATTGATTTATTTTCTTAATTTTTCTATTTCTTCTTCGTATTTGTTTTTTAACGTCCTGGACATATAATAGTAATTTCTTTCTCTGAAAATACAATTCAAATAATATGAAGATTCTTTATATCACTAATATTTGATACTAAGATTCTTACATCCAGGTTTCAAATGCAATTATAGATAAAAATGGCTATCAATTACACAGGTCAACAAAAAAGACTTACTTTTTTATGAGAAAGCGGAATGGTTTCCTATGTATTTTTGAACGCTGAACACGCTCCCGACTTCCAAAATTATCTATCACGTCAGGATTTTGAGAAAAGTGAGGGTAAAAACCCCAAAAACGCTTTTTTAAGGATTTTCAAAAATTTTTTTTCTCTTTA